CCCCTTTGTTTAACCCTGACTTCCATTTATACACCTCTATCATGTCGCCCCTCACTCTACGTCTCTCGAGGGAGTGCAAATTAAGATGCTTTAACCTGTCTGTACTCAAGGTTCCTTATGCCCGGGATTAGTCTTGTCATTCTCCTCTGGATTCTTTCCAAGGATTCTATATCCATTCTGTAATACGGTGACCTTTACCTACCCTCACCCCTACACCCCAAGACCCTGGATTCGCCACCAAGTATCCCAGGTCCCAGCAGATCAAGTGGGTTGTCACTGTCTTCAACTGGGTTCATCAGAGGACTATTGAGGGGGCTTGTCTGGAACCCCTCAACCACCCGTGTTTCTTACTGTTTACCCATAAGATTGAAGGAAGTGTTGTGTTCTGTTGCTGGAATGGTGGTACTGTAGGTGTGGTAGTTATGATTGGTTGAAATAGTGGTTGTGGTTGGTGGCGATGATGGTGGGAGGTGGAAATAGTGGTGTTAGTATTGGTTGGTGGCGATGATGGTGGTAGGTATAGTAGAGGTGGGAGTAGTGGTGTTAGTACTGGTTGGTGGCGGTGATAGTGGTAGGTAGTGGTTGTTGATGGTTGTCGTTGGTGGTAGTGATAGTATTGGTGGTGGTTGGTGGTGTGTCAGGGTGGGTGGTTGACGTGGGTAGGTGGATGTGGGTAGTTGAAGATGGATGACTTGTGTGGTGTTGGTGGATGGTTAGGTTAGGTATTAGGTGGTTAGTTGGTATTGACAGTGGTTGGTGGTGGCAGTGGTTGGTAGTCGTAGTGGTGGTAGTGGCAGGGACTAGCGCTTGGGTGGCCAGCAGTTGTAAATGTTTGATGGTCATTAGTATCGACGTGACATGCTAGCTAGTGCGTCCCTAGCGACTATTGCGTCCCTAGCGACTCGTGCATCACGCCGCTACACCAACGCCAACCCATGCGTGTGCGTCTATGCGTCACTTGAAGGACGCCGCCACCCCTCTGTCTCCTGGCGTCGTCGCGCAGTTGGTGGGGTGTGGGAGAAAGACAATGACCAAAACAGACAGAAAGACATTCACATAGACATAAAGATATACAGATAAACAGATCCATGTCATTAAACTAAACTCGGGAGAAAATGTACGATAGTATTAAAGTACGTGTGTGTGTGTGTGTGTGTGTGTATCCCAGCTAAAATAACCCAGTGAGGAATTTTTGTCTCTTATTTTGGGCGGTGAAGGAAGGGGTGAGGCCGTAGAGGTCTGGCTTAGAGTTTGGGAAGCTCTTGGAGGTCAGGTGCGTCGCTGGTCAGGGTCATGGGAGTTCCAGCAGACTGTCTGACTGTGGATGGGGAGATGGATAGATATTGATAGGTAGCTTGTGTGTGTTGGGTGCTGAATGACTGTGGTGTTTGAAGCAGTCTAGTGTAGAACAAGACTGTTATTGACTGGTTGGTTTTTTATGGCAGTGCAGCACAGGGTGTCACGGCCGTCATCCAGCTCACTATGTATATACTAAGTGACCTCCATTAATTTATAAAAAAACAAAATCTTTTACATGTATATGTGTGTGGTGGCATTAATGTAACATTTTAATCACCCCAAAATTGTCTTTGAATTTGGCTCTTGGAGAACTGTCAAACACAGCGTGAGTTACTCCCGCCCGAGTATTGTTCCTCACCGCGCTGGTCAGTTTTATACATTAAAAACAACCAATCATTACAGCTCATAGGTCCCGTTATTTTATAATTTTGATTAGTTCAGTTAGGTCTGAGATCCATCTTTCTTTGATGACCCACGATGTGTCAAGGTGTTGGCAGGTGTACAGGGCGACCAGGTGCAGGTGAGAAGGTCGGGCCGGGTAAGGCAGGTCGGGCTGGGTGCGGGAGGTGCGGGAAGGAGGGGTCGGGCCACTAGCGTGCCGTGCCCTGCAGGGTGGGGGAGGGGCCGCCGCCGCCGCTCGCACGGGAGGGGGCGTTTGTTTTGGTCAGTGGTGGGGTCTCCATGGCAACGGGTAAACAATGTGGCGACAATTACGAGAGGCACGTGCCGCAGTGCTGTCCTAACCCAGCCCCGCCAGGCCCTTGGGGCTCTAAAGCACTCCAAGGGCACACTGGGCACTCACTTGTCCCTCTGATGCCCCGTGGGCGGCGATGGCAGAAGTCGGCGCCCGTGTGGGGGGCTGGGCGCCGGGGGTCAAGTTGTGGGGGTTGGAGTCGAGGTGGCCCAGGACAGGTGGGGGGGTGTTGGGGGAGGACCAATCAGGTGTGGCCGTGTGGTAGAAGGGGCCAAGACCCCCGGTGGCGCCGTAGTGGCACCAGCACACACCACGCCACCACCAATACCACCACAGACCTCACCACCCGCCCGCTGCCCGCCACTACCACCCGCCGCCCAACACCACCCCTGGCCGCCCTCATCCCCGCCCATCATCACCCACGCCCACAACCTCCTCCCCGGCCCTGGCCAGGTATGGTACGACACAGGTGTTCAAGACTCGGGACGCCCTCACACACACACACACACACACACACCTTCACTTTTCCCAGGGTCTCTTCTACCTGACCATTATATTGATCTGTTTAGATAAATTGTTATATGTGGTGTGGTAGGCAGGGTCTGTGGTGCATGTGTGGTAGGCAGTAATGTGGTACGTGTGTGGTTGGCGGTAGTGTGATGGGGGAGGGCTTGTGTGTGGTAGCGTGGAGGACCAGCGGTGGTGGAGGTGAGGAAGGGCTACGCTAGTGGTGGGTGGGTCACTCGGCTCTGGCTGACCCTCGCTCACCACCTCACTACTGCCGCTCCTCCCTCCGACGCCGCATCGCACACCTACCCCGCATCGCACACCTACCCACTGCCCCACGCCCACGCCCCCCAGCCTCATGGAAGAGTCTCAGCTGCCAGAGTCTAACGAAGGTAATGACCTAGAGAGTCACTCTGTAAAATTATAGGTGTTGTGCGTCATGGGTGACGGACCAGGGGGGGATATCGACCGTGGTGGGGGGTGGGTTGTGTAGGGGGTGGGTTGTGGGTGATGTGACCTACTAGAATCTGGATAAAGAGGGCTGACTTGAGGTCATGACCTGGGTTTGACCTGACAGCGAAGGAGCTTCCCCGCCAGATGTGGGGGAGGGAGGGAGGGAGGGAGGTACCTGGCGTAGGTTAGGTAGCGTCAGTGTCCCGCGGGCAGTCGACACACCTGGCCACACTTCTGCCCACCTCGACCGTCTCTGCCTCCAGTACCCCTGTAAGTCAACCCTCGCCCAACCAAGACGATTCGAACACCTAGGTCTTCTGCTGCAGGTGGTCACCTGCTCTAGGTACCAGCAAGTGATGTGTCTACATCACTAAGTTGAGTAACAGCGACGTTTATTCCGGCGACTTATCCTTGAACACGCCCTCGAGTCTCTGTCGTCGTCGAGTTAATTGGCGTCCTTGAGTGCTGTATGACCCCCAGGTGTGTCGCCCCATGTACGACCTTCAGGTGTGTCATCTCCCCTTGAGTGTTGTAGTCACCCATGTAGACAGTTTGTGGCGACCGCGGCCCTCGTGTTATCTTAACTGATGGTTCACTTATATATATATATATCTATAGTTGGTTTACATGTGAATAACAACAATATGTAAATAAAACGGGTTTTGGCGACGCGACGCTTGCTGAGATAACCGAGGACGTGGCTATTACAGGCGGGTGTTGGTGCCCTCCTGACGCCGTCGTGGCTGCTCCCAGTCTCACCTCCGACACATATTCCGTCATGTTGGATCACCACGACGATCTCAACCAGGCCCCTCCGCTACCTGGGTCTCCCCACACCACCCAACAGTCGTCCTCCCCTCACCCTCCCCAGCCCCAGGGTGAGGAAGCCATGGAGGCCCCGCCCGCCCCGGCAGGTGGTGTGTCTCCACAGCTGGCCTCGATCCTCCAACCCCCTCCAGGACACGTGATCGAGAGTGACCTCCCCTCTGACCCCTGCTGCTCCGCCCAGGTGACCGCCAGGGCTTCGTGTAGTGGCAGGAAGACCGCTGGAACAGCAGACCCAGGTAGTGGTGGGCTTGAGGGAGGCGTCTGTTCCACTAGAGGTAACCGGCTGCCCACGGGACTGCCTGTGTGACCCTCCACCCCGCCTGACCCACCCTGGGGAGTAGTGGTAGACCCCCGCGCTCCACCATCGCCTCCCCACGCTAACATACCTTGCCTCTTAATTAAGGAGAGATAGAGTGCAGCACATGTGACGGTGTACAGTAGTGTGGTGGGTGAGTCATGTAGCGCGGGGAGTCTCCACCTATAATGTATTTCACTGTAACTGTTGAGTTTTGAGCGGCGATGCACCCTGGCCTCTCCCTGTTGATATTTGTTGTCTTGGTGATGGTGCTGACGGACTGGGGGCGTACAAGTCCCTTCCGTCCGCCGGTTGACCCTCAACCATCTCCTGGCACAAACTACTGCCACAAGATATTAGATGTTTTGACAGTGTTCTATCCTGGCCTGTCCCAACCTGGGCTCTCCCCATAATAAGCCCTCCCTCCCTTACCATCATGTGACGTACCCTGGTCATTTCCACCGTCTTGTTCCCTCCCTGTGTCTTTACCTCCTTGACATGGCGTCGTGACCCCTGCGTGACCTCCTTCTCACCCCTCCCCCCTCTTATCTTGTGGTGAAGCAGTATCGCTCACTATTGACGTGTGCTGTTATTAAAGACCCTCACTTAATATTGTCGCCAATGCCTCCCTCCATAAGCTTGATATATGTTTTATTTAATACTCTCAATATTCTTTCCTTATTTTGTATGAGCATCTGAACAGGACGAGGTACCAGTGTGTGTGTTTGTTTGTTCTGTGTGGTGTTGGGAGAACATTTGTCCTTAATATTGTCTCCAAATTGCCCTTCCCCTGAACATTGTAAATATCATGACCTAATTAATCCCCATCCTTATTTTATTGTTATTTCAGCAGGACAAAGCACCTGTGTTTTTGTGTTGTGTTGGTGAGTGAACGAGAAGTAAGAATTGTTATTTGTGTTACAGGGATGAAGCGGATGTCGGAGATGGAAGGAGAGACGCCACTGAAACGCCCTCGCCCCGCCGGTGACACAGAGCTTCGTCTTCTCATCCAGAGCAAGGTTGGTCTTTTACCCTACTGGGGGAGTGTCTGGGGTGTGCTGGGAGTGTCTGGGGGAGGAGGGTGTGTCTGGGGTTGGGACTCTCAGGGAAGTATCTGGGGTGTCGGCTACTGTTTTGATAAGGGACTGTGGGGGAATTCGATAAGATGAAATAATCAACATTGATCTGCCAAATAAGTTGATCAAGATTAGTTAAATGCGTTCAAATAGTAGGGCACCTGAAGATTAAACACCCTAGTTTATTCACCTGAAGATTACACACCCTAACCTAACCCCCAAGGTAGTATTAAGTTGGTTAATTATCAGGTGAAATAAACTGGGGTGTCTCTTCTGCAGGTAATCCCATTTATTAAGGGAACCTGCAAAAACGCCAGTGACAGGTGTAAGTTCGTGTACAGGTGTTTGTGCAAGTGTGTTGAGTTTCACGTCCTGTCTGTCTGTACAGGTGTGTGGGTCATTGATTCAGGGTTGTGGTGTTTAAGGGTAAGGGATGTGGTTTATGAGGATTAGGGATGACTAGGGTTAGGTTAGGTTAATGTAGTCAGGGGTAAGGGATGAGGAATAAGTAGTGTATTAGGGATGTGGTATAAGGGAGCGTTGTGCTGGTTCACTTATCCGGTATCTACACTGTGTACCGTTATGGGTTGGAGGCTACAATGGCGCCTGAACAAAATTGAACTAAAAAATCCAACCGGATAAATTCTCTCGTTAGATTAATTTCACATTTAAAAAAATTCCTACTTTAAAAAAAATAATAAATGGAGTAATTTCCAAAAAGTGGCATTTAACTATTTCCCAGTAGATTAAATCTTCGCTGAGTATTTCTAATGAGATAAACTCCCTCTAGACAATTACCCATTGGACAAAAAAATCTCTTCGGACAATTCCCGCATTAACCAGACTGGCAGATAAAATTTTCCATTGCACAAACTTCCATTTGGCAATTATCCACCAGACGAAATCACCTTGTTAGTGAGATAGTGTCGCCCTAACAGCCCTCGACAGCCACAGTGGAACATGGTAGGTTGCAGGGTTATTATTGACTAAACGCCCGTCACTATCTGGAGTCCTCAGCAGCCGTCACAATTCATCGTAGTTGATTGCTGTTTTTATTATTTATCGTCAGGTAATTAGACCAATAACATACAGGGTCATCCAAAAATAATAATACCCAGGTTTTAAGTACCATCTTATTAGCCAATCACATACAGGGTCATGGAAAAAGAACACCCACGGTTAAAGTACCCCTCTTTCAGCAGTCACATACAGGGTCATGGAAAAAGAAATACCCAGGTTTTAAGTGATTGTGTATTAAAGTGTCTGTATTTTGTATGACCCTGTATATTGACCCACCAAATGTCGCCACATGTTGAGAGAAATTTGTCAGCAATAGTTTGATTGTCCTTATTAGCTATTTTCTGTAAATTAAATAGTTAATATCCAAACTGTATTAGTGTTTTGTTTGTATGTATGTGTGAATAAATGAAAATGTGTGTATGTATTTATGAATTTATGTATGTATGTATGTGTGTATGTATGTATGTATGTATGTATGTTGTTTTTATTTCTAATCTTAGTCGTAATTTAATACATTTTTTAGTTAAAATTTTGGTGTGATGCTTAATGTCACATCATTCATCTTCAAACACCTTTTTCCTGGTCTCTTCAACTACCTGGCCGTCTCTGATCGCGTAACACTTTCTGCCGATCGTCTAGGATTTTATCGGGGGTGAGGGAAGGTGTGGGTGGGGGGGAGGGAGGGGGCAAAAAATATGTCTTTATCGAGTGACCTGGATTTTTATATGTCTTGGGAACCCGTTTAAGTTTTCAGTAGGGGGAGGATGGATGGTAGATGGTGAGGTGTTTTGGTAGTGGTGATAGTATTAATGACGATGGCAATATAATGATGATAATGATGGTAGTAGTTGATAATGATACTAAGACTAATGATGAAGATAAATAATGAATAATATAATTCATGATAATGCTAGAAAGTGAATTATTTATAGCAGGTGATGGTCAATGATAATTCGTAATAGTATAATAATCAATAATAATTAGTGGGAGTCTATAATAATCGAAGTAATGGTGGTAATTATAGCAGGAGACTAGAGTTTGTTTATCGAGGTGTGTTGTGTGGAGGTGGGTGTAATGTGACGAGGAAGTGTATGGTTAGCGGTTGACCACACAGTGTAGAGGGTGTAATGAGGGTATCGCATGGTGTAGTAGGGAGGGTGGTACCACATCGGACGCCACTACAACACCTACAGTATACTCATCCTGGAGAGTCAGGGGTATCACATCTGACCCCGAACTGAGGACTTTGCGGAGGGGGTGTTGACGCTATTAAAGGAAGAGTCACAGTAAAGTACAGGACTCTACTGATAGCTGAGAGTCAAGGTGAACTGTCTAGGGTGTGTGATTTTTAGGGAGGAAGTGGTGTGTGTTGTTGTCTAGCCTAAGTGTGTCGGTGATTTATTTTTCACGAGAGAATGAGTTCAGTTGATTCTTAAGGCTCGTCTTTAATGGTGAGTCACTTTAAAATTGTGTTGGTGGTCCTGCTTTTGTTCTTGATCACACACACACACACACACACACACACACAGCAGAAGCAAGTCGATACGCATGCTATAAACTTTATGAATTCGTTAACACGCAACACCCCGCCGCTACACACACACAGTACCCGGCAGATGGCACCACGTTACGTAAACTTGGACTCAACTTTGATGAAATGAGGCGGTCGTTTCCCTCCTCCTCCTCCTCATCCGTGATATTGTGCATGCACTCTCAGTTTGACCTTTTTAAAAAGTTTAGACCAGATATGTAAAACTGGCTCTCAAATTCCTGGGTGAGGTGCCGGGCTGAGCTAGCAAAGTTTGTGTGAGCTTTCCCTCTTGTTTTTTCTACACCCGCCCCTCTCCCGGAAAAAAAATACCTTCCAGCTACCCTCAGTGGCGGGGAGTGACACCAGTTGTTGGCAGTGGGACAGCGTAGTTACCAAGTGTTAGTAACAGAGCAGTGGCATTGATGTTGGTAGAGAGAAGGCGTTAATAGCAGATGGTGGCAGTAGGGGGGGGGGATACTGCTCACAACAGGGAGATAATTATGGAACTTATATGTTGTCAGGGGGGAAAGGGCAATATTTCTACTAGATATTGGTGGTAGAGAGAGAAGTTGGCAGAGGTACACAAGATGGGTACCCGTCCATGTCAACCTACCTCTTCCCACCACCGTCACCTCCCTTCCCCTTACCGTCACCCCCCTTCCCACCACCGTCACCTCCCTTCCCCTCATCATCACTTCCCTTCACTTGTCACTGTTTTTGCTTAAGGATGATGTCAAGCGGTTCATTATTCCGTACACCCGGTCATGTGTCTCCTGCCACGACCTCCTCAACCTCCACGCTGGCCTCCACTGCTGTGTTTTGTCGGTCGTGAGAGGTAAAGACGACCTTCTCCTCCACGGGATCACAGATGGATGGGTGGATTGATTAAATTGATGGATTGATTGATACGTATTCATGCAATCTGGATGGACAGACAGATAGATAGATATTTATTTTTTCAGTAAAATATCAATACACGTTTATATTTATGTAACCCGTACATAGACATATTTTCCTCCTCCCCCTCCTACTCTTCCTCCTCCTCCTCCTGTAAACGTTGTGGTGTCAGCCTCGACGTGTTCATTGTGTGAGGTGATGAGGGGAAGGGGACTCCTCAGAGCTCCCCACGGGGTTATAGTCCTCACAAACTGGGCTTATCAAGGTGAAGGGAAAATTTCAGGAATCACCCCCCTCTCCCATGTATTTTTTGGGTGGCGGGGGTCTTTTAAAAACTAGTCTTATCGACAAGGGATTTGAAGTGCCATTCACATTTTTTTTTTACTTTCTAACACTGGGCTTCGTCTCTCTCTCTCTCTCTCTCTCACACGGGGTTAGGGTTCCAGTTTTTCGGGGGTTCACATGGGGGATTTTCCAGGGGGTGTCTAGTTGTCACGTGAAATAAACTGTGGTGCCCAATAATCACGTGAAATAAGATGGGGGTGCCTAATAATCACGTGGAATAAACTGGGGTGCCTAATAATCACGTGGAATAAACTGGGGTGCCTAATCTTCGTGTGCTGCGAGGGTAAGTGATTCTGTTGACAGGATAGGTAGTCGTACTCCTTCGCTCGTGCTGGGGAATGTAGCGGTGGCGGCGCGTGTGGCCAGCTGCCAAGACCTGGTGTAGCTGTCACCTCACTTATGGATTTCCTGTCGTTGGTGATGGCTGAAACCCTGGTATTTTAAACACCACCTCGGCCACTTTTGGTGTAGAGTTTGTCCAGTGACGTGGCGTATGTGTGTGTGTCTTGGGAAGGTGTTTTTGGTCACCTGAAGATTAGACACCCTTAGCTTATTTCATCTTATTGGTTGATGACATTGAAGTTACGTAGGTTAGTGTTAGGGTGGTTATTCCTCAGGTGAAATAAGCTAGGATGTCTACAGGTAAAATAAGCTGGTGTCTAATCTTTAGGTGAAATAAGCTGGGATGTCTACAGGTAAAATAAGTTGGTGTCTAATCTTCAGGTGATCTATTGCAGCATACCTTGATGATCCAATTCTTATAGACCTCTTACACTGCTGGTCTCCCTTAGCTCTGGGATGGGTGGGGGCGTCAGGTAGCTATCTTCACCTTGTTTCGACTCAGGTGGACAGGGTACACAGGTGTGGCTCATTGCGAGGCTTGAGAGTGTATTGCCAAGGCCGTGTTATGACTAAGACGCTCTTTAATTATTATTAGTTTTGTTATTCGTCCTAACAGGTGACCTTGTTAGGTACAGGCATCTAAGACACACACACACACACACACACACTCTACATCATGGTGACCTTCGTGCAAATGCATTCAGTACCTGCCCCAGTGTCACTTAACTCTCCGAAATGATTTTGTTAATGAACTGAGAGGATTCATCACACTCGCTCGCGCTCTCTCTCTCTCTCTCTTGCCCACCGTGACCACTATCTCCTACACCGGACAGTTATGGCGAGTTAAGACTGGCTGTTTGTATGGGTCAAGTTTAAACCTCCCCAAGGTCCTTCACTTTTACGAGGCTTGTTAGTGGAGTGTGATGGTGCAGGTTAGTGGTGGGCGTTGGTGTTATGGTAGTGTGATGGTGCAGGTTAGTGGTGTGCGTTGGTGTTATGGTGGTGTGATGGTGCAGGTTAGTGGTGTGCGTTGGTGTTATGGCGGTGTGATGGTGCAGGTTAGTGGTGTGTTATGGTGGTGTTGGTAGTGTGATGGTGCAGGTGCATAATTACTGGCGTTTTATCGTGATTGCTGTATGCTATCATGGTACAGATGTGGCGTTATGTAATGAGAGAGAGAGAGAGATTTATTTTTGTTCACAATGTTCCTGAGATTATTCCGGTGTTTTTGTGGTTGAGGTGACTTGGGTAACAGGTGTGGTTAATGTGGTCAGGTGGTACAGGTCAGTTCCGAGGTGGGGATGCAGGTGAGACGGGCCCCAGTCCTAATAGGCCCCTCCAAACCTAAAAAAGTAGTATTAACAGTAGTAGTAGTTCCGGGTAAATAAGTAAGGGGTTTAAGTCATCTTTGTATAGTACCTAAATATGCTAAAAAGGTCCTTAAAGTTACTATACTTAACTCATTTACAATACGAGCACAGGTGATGAGGCAAGAACACCTGGAATGATTTAAATGGCTGGTGCTTTAATGAGAGTACAGCAACACCTTGCGAGTTGATGACGCTGGAGATGTAAGTACAGGCGTGTCCAGCTGAGCACCGCATTATTACAGGTGTATATACAGGTACAGGTGTATATATAGGTACAGGTACAGTGATCAATGGGGTGAAAGTGGGTCTTGTAGGTTTCACTGATCCAAGGAGAACTATTAAAAAAATAAATCATCTAGACGTTAAAACTTGCGGTTATTTTAAGCTATTTTTACTGGTATGTAAGTTAAAAAAAGACACTTAAGGTTTGAAACTGTAACCAGACTGGACATGACTGTATCCTTACATTACTGCGAAGTCTTGGAACGTGAACCTACACACTGACGCTCCTGGTCGAAGTCTACGGTGTTCCCTCGTAACACTCTGGTGATGGGAGGGTGGTGGAGGGGAAGTGGGGGGTGGACGGGGAGGCATATGCGACGTACAGGCTGAGAATATTTTATGTATCGATTATTCAGCAAGGGCAGCTGCGACAGGAAAGCTGTGTGGTGTTTGAGTGCAAGTGTTGGAGGTGACGAGGGGGGGGGCGCCATCTGGCTCTTAACTGTGCAAACACCTGTTCCTGTGTGTAGGGGCAAGGTGGCCACTGACTGTATGTGGGGTGGTGGTGGTTTGAATTGAATTGTAAGCTTATTTAACCAGAAAAATACAGATACAGAGGATAATAACAATATTAACATGGCTGAGCCAGTTGAGAACCCTGAGCCTTTGAGGCACCTGATTATACTATACATTTATGGGGAAGATAGGGGCCACTGACTGTACGTGGGGTGGTGGGGAAGTTATTAGGGCACTGACTGTACGTGGGGTGGGGAAGTATTAGGCCATGACTGGTGGGGGGGTGAAGCATAGGGCCACTGACTGTGGGGTGGTGGGGGGAGTTTAGGCCACCCAAGGGGTGGGGTAGGGCCACTGACTGTACGGGTGGTGGGGGAAGTTATTAGGGCCACTGACTGTACGTGGGGGGTGGTGGGGGACGTTATTAGGGCCACTGACTACTTGGTGGGGGTTATTTGTGCCACTTACCCAGCCTGTGAGTTAAGGGTATAAAGCAATTTGCTGTAGGGGAAGGGGGAGCCACTTACCCTTACTTACATAGGGGGAGGGGCGTGCCGAGAGAGAGAGAGGGAGGGTTGTGTGCGTGTGGGGACAGGAGGGTAAAGTGTGGTACAGGGTCTTGGCTAATTATTAGTGTGTGTGTGTTAGGGAGGGGTGGTGGCGCCAGCGAGGATTTACTGCCCGTCCTCCCTTCTCACCAGCCCTCACCACTACCACCAACACTTCACCCTCAGTGCCACCACCATCTACACTACCACCATTTCCACCCATCACTACCACCTACATTACCATCACCACCACCCCTCACCATCACCTCCACCGTTTATTCTACGTGTGAGAAAGACCGTCCCTAGATACGATAGTGTGAAGGTGGATTTATCGTCTTATGAACATTTTGAATCCATCTTTGTGTCATAGCTTAAGTGAGTCAGTCTGGTGTATTCTCATGCCTTCAGTTGGGTGGAACTTCAAGGTAGGAATGGTTGTGGATGATAACACACCAGTCATGAAGAACAGTGTTGAGTGCCTGTGTTAACCTTAGGTGCCAGTACTGTACTCATAGGGTGCCGGAGTTCAGTATTTTCTTAAGTCTGTAGAATGTTATTTCACAATTAAAATGTTGTTTTGATGGATTATAAACATTTGAGTAGTTGGAAGATATGTGCAGATAGACTTCATAATGTGTGTGTGTTATTGTTGGTGCAGTGTTGACTAATGTTGTTGTTGTTTTGTTTCAGGCGGCAGGCTCGGTGATCGGCAAGGGAGGCCAGAACATATCCCGTTTACGCAGTGAGGTGCGTACCCCAGGGCCGCTCTTCCCGGCCCCCGCACCCCCACACATCTCATCCCCAACCCTTCCCTCCCTCCCTCCCTCCTCCATCCTCCTTATCTCTTATCTATCTTTCTCTCCTCACCTCTGTTAGACACTGCTGTAACAGCCTACTGCTCCATGCTCTGGGAGTTCTTCACATCACATGGATTTATTTAGCATCACTACATTTATTCTTTTCCCCCCTTTGTTTTTGGTTCAAGAAGGTTGACACTTGAACACGTGTATACCGCGGCACTGGTAGCCAGTAGGTAGTGGCGTCCACGAGGGTGTGTCCTGCCTCGCCACCATCTACCTCGCCCACTGCTTCACTCTTCCACCCTCACCCATACACACCCACGACTCGTGTATGTATCTGGTATATATACATACCACAGGTGTGTATGGCGCGTCGGTGTGGGCGTGCAGCGTCGGGCGGGTGTAGGCGTGGTGAGGGGGGAGACCAGCACCCGCGTGGACGACATGAGTGTCAAGCCAGGTATAACCACACATATGTCCCATCATGACCTCCCCTGCGGAGTGACTCTCAGACGTGGTGTAAAAATGTTCTCAGGTAGACCCGGGCCACCAGGGACCTGAGGCAGTCTTGGACACTGGTGGTGACCGGTCACCCCGGTCACCACCAGTGTCCCCGGCAAGTCAGGGTCACCTGGTGGCTCCCAACCCCCTTCTGTAGTGGCGGTGGACGTGGGTGGAGGGTGGGCACTGTGCCACTCTACACTCTTCACCCCGCCCACCCGTCTCTTGTAAGCTGACCTGGTAGGTCAGCAGGTGCACGCCCCCACTTAGTGCGCACAGTGGCACCAATAGCTGCTATGATTGTGTTATACTGATGATAATGACAAGATAAGCTAGGAGGTAACATGTGAGTGCCGGTCTGTTAACTGGAGCCTTTTCTCCCTCCCTATGCCCCTGCCACCGCGGCTGCCCCCGATGTCCCGCCAACGTCCGATTGGTCAATACCAACTTGTTTCTGACCAATCCCATGTTGGCCCCGCCCCCTCTCGACTGACTGACGGCCGTGGTCATCTATGATTGGTTCATGTCCCGCCCAACCAACGTACGCCCCTCCCCCTGAGCAGAATCCAGCCAGTATTACCGTGCCCGATTGCCCAGGCCCCGAACGGTAATTAGTCTCTTTTACTGTTTTATCGTTTTTGCCTACAATCTCAGACGCCTGTAGATGATGTGGCAGCCAGTCACACCATCTCAGACACCTGTAGATGATGTGGCAGCCAGTCATACCATCTCAGACGCCTGTAGATGATGTGGCAGCCAGTCATACCATCTCAGACACCTGTAGATGATGTGGCAGCCAGTCATACCATCTCAGACGCCTGTAGATGATGTGGCAGCCAGTCATACCATCTCAGACGCCTGTAGATGATGTGGCAGCCAATCACACCATCTCAGACGCCTGTAGATGATGTGGCAGCCAGTCACACCATCTCAGGCGCCTGTAGATGATGTGGCAGCCAGTCACACCATCTCAGACGCCTGTAGATGATGTGACAGCCAGTCACACCATCTCAGACGTCTGTAGATGATGTGGCAGCCAGTCACACCATCTCAGACGCCTGTACATGATGTGACAGCCAGTCACACCATCTCAGGCGCCTGTACATGATGTGGCAGCCAGTCACACCATCTCAGACGCCTGCATATGATGTGGCAGCCAGTCACACCATCCCAGACGCCTGTAGTTGATGTGGCAGCCAGTCACATCATCCCAGACACCTGTAGATGATGTTGCTGTCAGTCACACTATCCCAGTCTGTAGATGATGTGGTAGCCAGTCACACCATCTCAAACGCCTGTAGATGATGTGACAGATCTCAGACGCCTGTAGATGATGTGGCAAGCTAGTCACACCATTTCAGTAGCCTGTAGATGATGTGACAAGCTAGTTATATCATCTGAGGCGCTATTAGATGATGTGGCAGCCAGTCACACCACCCCAACCGCCTGTAGATGATGCAGCACACCATCCACAACATCGCAGGTGGCTGTAGTTGGAGAACTTACCCAGTCACTCCATCTCAGACCCTTGTAGATGATGTGGCAGCCAGTCACACTATCCCAGTCTGTAGATGATGTGGCAGCCGGTCACACTATCCCAGTCTGTAGATGATGTGGCAGCCGGTCACACTATCCCAGTCTGTAGATGATGTGGCAGCCAGTCACACTATCCCAGTCTGTAGATGATGTGGCAGTCAGTCATACTATCCCAGTCTGTAGATGATGTGGCAGCCAGTCACACTATCCCAGTCTGTAGATGATGTGGCAGCCAGTCACACTATCCCAGTCTGTAGATGATGTGGCAACCAGTGACACTCCGGCAACTTCCGATGGTTTGACAAGCTTGTTGCAGTGTTATGAATCCTGTGCCAACCCTGCCACACCGTCAGAGGTTCCTTGAGGTGTTCTATCATGCTTGCCACACCTGAGGTACCTAAGGTGGTGTATCAAGCCTGCCACACCATCTGAGATGCTGCAAATGATATCCAAAGTGCCTATGGTGAAATATATCAAGCCTGCCACACCATCTGAGATGCCTGCTTGGAGTCGATGTATCGGCCTGCCACACCTGCATCTAGGTGCACCTAAGGTAACCCATCAAAGCACCACACCATCTGAGGTGCCCCTGTGGGTGATGTCATTAAGCCACCACACACCATCACCAGAGAGTGCCTAAGGTGATGTATCAAGCACACACACTACATAGGGTGCTGTGAGTGGTCTCAACTGCCCCACTATCTGTGGGGTGCCTAAGGTGATGTATCAAACTGCCCACCATCAACAATTTTCATGGTGGTATCAGCTAGCCACATCATATGAGGTGCCTGTAGGTGATGTATCAAGCCTGCCACACCATCTGAGGTGCCTAAGGTGATGTATCAAGCCTGCCACACCATCTGAGGTGCCTGTAGGTTATGTATCAAGCCTGCCACACCATCTGAGATGCCTGTAGGTGATGTATCAAGCCTGCCACACCATCGGAGATGCCTGTAGGTGATGTATCAGCTAGCCACATCATATGAGGTGCCTGTAGGTGATGTATGAAGCTTGCCACACCATCTGTGATGCCTGTAGGTGATGTATCAGCTAGCTACATCATCTGAGGTGCCTAAGGTGATGAATCAAGCCTACCACACCATCTCAGACGCCTGTAAATGATGTAGGAAGTCTGCCACACCATCTCATTTGTCTTTAGATGATGTAGCAAACCAATCACACCGTCTCAGACGCCTGTAGATGATGTTACAAGCCACTTAGTCTCCGACGTCTTCAGATGGTATGACAGCTTGTTACACCATCTCAGTCGTCAGTAGATGATGTAGCAAGCCAGTGACACCATCTCAGGCGTGTGTGGCCACCCAGCCAGCCACATGACAGTGGTGACCTCAACTACAGGTTTGAGGATGTGCCCTCCACATGGCCCTTCTCCCTGTCTCGCCCCATACAAACTTAGCATTATATTTATGGTGTGGAAGCCTGAGTCTCTTTATTTTGATATATATATACTGTATATATATATATTTTTTTTCCCACAAGGCTCAGGCCTCCATAATAGTTACAATATGTTGAGTAACTCAGGCATAACTCTGGCCTACCTGTTGTGTCCCCCTTTATTATTGCCCACCCCTATCAAGGGTGTAAGTCATGTGTTTTTTTCATCCCCTTCCCCTCCCTATCCTTAATGTGAACCCTCCCTTGTTTGTGTACCCCCCCTCCCCTATAGCGGCTAGGTCAGCCCATCTCCAGCTTCCCCCTCCCCTCACCCAAGTCACACACAACAGACGGTGAACAGTTGCCAGTGTGCCTCCCCTTGCCACTAACTCGTGTGACGTCATCAACCAGTCTGCTGTCCCATGACGTCATCCACACACTGGACTCAGCTGTACCCGTGACGTCATTTTCAACATTATTGCCAACTTAGAACATAATAACCTTTACCTTTGTTATCCCAGTTACCCAGACTGTCAAAGAGGGTCTGTTGCCCATGGTATCTGATAGTACAGTACAGGCATATTTACCCTAACCACAGATGACTGCTTAAACACTTGCTTAATGACGATAAAAGTACCTGGTTGATGACGTCACACTCACCTGAAGACAATTATTATCCTGTGCTTCTCCTAATCTGTGAATGTATAAAGAATATATATATATATTTATGCTTATTGGTATGTCCCTGGTCCCCTGTGGACAGTTGCTACTCACTAACTTAAACCCCCAGCCCTTCCAGGTAAACTCCTCGTCCCTGTGTGTATACTCTCCCTGTGACTCCATACTCCCTTCCTCCCTCTGTACCCAAACTCCCTTCATACCTACCCACCCCACTCTTCCCTTCATCCCTAACACACAACTCTCTTCTTACATACACTTACCAATCTTTCTCTCCCTATCTTTCTTTCTCTCCCTCTTTCTTTCTCTCTATGTCTTGTAATCTTCCTCCCGACCCATCCTTCATTCTTGTTCCCATCCCAGTGCCCCTTCCTCTCTCCTTGTCCATCCATATCTCCCATCTCGGCCCCCACCCTCCCTTCCTCTTATCCTTTAACCCAGCCATCCTCCTTTCCCATCTTAACACTAACTTTCTCTTTCCAGCTCTCATCTACATTCCCCTTCCATCCCTTCTTAGTCCCTAGTATGTCCACACCTGCTCCTTCACCGAGGATTTCTCTCTCATTCTCTCCTTCCTTTTATCTCCCTCCTTTGGTCACAAATCGGCCATCACCATTCCTCCTCTGCCAGTCTCTCTCATATCTCAAAGGCCTTGACTGTGTTCCTATCGCCTCTTCCCCCTTCTCTGTTTCGCTCTCCTACACTCATACTTCTGTGGCCACTCATAATACACACCTCATTTTCTATGCCACTTACCTCTGTCCCTCACCTCTCCCAATGCAAGCGGTTCTTTTTCTTCTTCCTGAATTGACCTGTTGATTAGCACTACCTACTTCTGGCATTCTCAGTAACTCTTACCGTGTTGAGAAAAACGAAGTGCTTGCTGGGCGTTGAGAGCCACACAACCACAGCGGCAAAGTCACCACCACATATGTTTAAGAATTGATATAAACATTGAAAAGGAAAAAAAAAGAGCTGTGAATTTGCTGCTGTGATGGTGCTACTCTCACAACATCTAGTCAATTTCTAGTAATGGTGATGGTTGCTGAGGATGCTAGTTGAAGGGGGGTCATCTCACTATATTCCTCACTATACATTTTTCCCTTATAATTTCCTTTCCTTGTCTTTATTCAAAATTCTCTCGTTTTTTTTGCAATTATCTGTTTTGTGTATTCTCTTTCTCTTATTTTCTAACATTTCCAACTCTTCTTTTGTGTTACTGTTAAAACTTTCTCTATGCAGAAGACTTGTTTATACTGTAATGTCCAAGGTTTCCCCCCACACCTGTAGCAATGCCGTGCTTGATATGGTATAACCCATCAGTAACTCAAGCTACCCTCAGCCTCTTCCTCCACCTGTCCACTGATGCTCCATACACCCACTACCATCCCACTTTCCTCCTCCTCGTCTTTTTGTCATTGTACACACACACACACACACACACACACACACACACACACACACACACACACATACACACACACATACATAAATACATAAAAAACAATTTCCACCTCTGTGACACCTCCATCCTGCTTTGAAATGACAGAATACTATCCTGGTCCACCTGAACCACACCACTATCCTGGTCTACCTGAACCACACCACCATCCTGGTCCACCTGAACCACACCACTATCCTGAACCACACCACTATCCTGGTCCACCTGAACCACACCACTATCCTGGTCTACCTGAACCACACCACCATCCTGGTCCAATCTTGAACCACACCACTATCCTGGAACTACACCACCATCCTGGTCCACCTGAACCACACCACTATCCTGGTCCACCTGAACCACACCACTATCCTGGTCCACCTGAACCACACCACTATCCTGGTCCACCTGAACCACACCACTATCCTGGTCCACCTGAACCACACCACTATCCTGGTCCACCTGAACCACACCACTATCCTGGTCCACCTGAACCACACCACTATCCTGGTCCACCTGAACCACACCACTATCCTGGTCCACCTGAACCACACCACTATCCTGGTCCACCTGAACCACAACACCACTATCCTGGTCCACCTGAACCACACCATCATCCTGGTCCACCTGAACCATTGCCACACCACTATCCTGGTCCACCTTGAACCACACCATTCATCCTGGTCCACCTGAACCACACCACACCACTCATCCCGGGTCCACCTGAACCACACCACTCATCCTGGGTCCACCTGAACCACACCACACCACCATCCTGGTCCACCTGAACCACACCACACCACCATCCTGGTCCACCTGAACCACACCACACCACCATCCTGGTCCACCTGAACCACACCACTATCCCTGGTCCACCCTGAACCACACACACCACTATCCTGGTCCACCTGAACCACACCACTATCATCCTGGTCCACCTGAACCACACCACTATCCTGGTCCACCTGAACCACACCACTATCCCGGTCCACCTGAACCACACCACCATCCCGGGTCCACCTGGACCACACTTCCATCCTGGTCCACCTGAACCACACATCATCATCCTGGTCCACCTGGACCACCGCCCTGATCCACCTGAACCACACCCCTGTCTTGGTCCACTTGGACCACACCTCCATCCTGGTCCACCTGAACCACATCACTATCCTGGTCCATCTGGACCACACCACCATCCTGGTTCACCTGAACCATTACCTCTCGTCTTGGTCCACTTGGACCACACCTCCATCCTGGTCCACCTGAACCACATCACTATCCTGGTCCATCTGGACCACACCACCATCCTGGTTCACCTTGACCACACCACCATCCTGGTTCACCTTGACCACACCAACACCATCCCTGGTTCACCTTGACCACACCACCATCCTGGTTCACCTTGACCACACCACCATCCTGGTTCACCTTGACCACACCACCATCCTGGTTCACCTTGACCACACCACCACCTGGTTCACCTTGACCACACTACACACCACTACCCTGTACTTGCATTGTCTTGTTTGTTCTGACCTGTCACCAGTAATTCCTCTTAATGAGCCTCGTCACTATTGTCAAATTGGTATTATTATTATTATTATTATTATTATTATTATTATGTTTTTCAGGTGTAGTATTAAGGACCATTTGTACTGTATGTAGGCGAGAAGTATACTGTAGTGTATATGATCATATAGCACAGTAGTTACCGGGTACCTGTGGTCATATTGTCTTGGCTTGGTAATGTGTTGTGTATTGGTGCTGCCTGTGTCACTGTGTGTGTGTGTGGCACCCTCACCGCCCGTCACCCCTTTACCCACCTCCCCAAACCACTCCCTTACATCGCCACCCATCACCTCCCACACACACCCACTACCCCTCACCCCTCACACTCACCTACTACCCTTCACCTTCCACACTCACCCACCACCCCTCACCCACCACCCCTCACCTCCCACCCTCACCTCCCACACTCATCCACTCACCTCACCTCCACACTCGTCACTACCCCTACCTCCCCACACACTCGTCCACTACCCTCACCCACCACCCCTCACCTCCCACACCCACCTCCCACACTCCATCCACTCCCCACCTCCCCCACACTCCACCTCCCACACTCACCTCCCACCCCTCACCTCGCACACCACCCACCTCACCCCCTCACCTCCCACCCTCACCTCCCCACACCTCACCCACCACCCCTCACCTCCCCACACTCACCTCCCCACACTCATCCACTCACCCTCACCTCCCACACCTCACCTCCCACACTCACCTCCCACACCTCACCCACCACCCTCACCCTCCCCACACTCACCTCCCACCCCTCACCTCCCACACTCATCCACTCACCCTCACCCCTCACACTCGTCCACTACCCCTCACCTCCACTCCACCCACCACCCCTCACCTCCCACACATTCATCCACCCTCACCTCCCACACCTCATCCACTACCCCTCACCTCCCACACTCATCCACTACCCTCACCCCTCACACTCGTCCACTACCCCTCACACCTCCCACACTCCTCCACCTCACCTCCCACACTCACCTCCCACACTACCCACTACCCCTCACCTCCCACACTCACCTCCCACACTCACCTCCCACCCCCTCACCTCCCACACTCATCCACTCACCCCTCACCTCCCACACTCATCCACTCACCCTCACCCCCACACTCGTCCACCACCCCTCACCTCCCACACTCATCCACCACCCCTCACCTCCCACACACTCACCTCCCACCCCTCACCTCCCACACTCATCCACCACCCCTCACCTCCCACACACTCATCCACTACCCTCACCTCCCACACTCGTCCACTCATCCTCACCCACTACCTCCACACCCTCACCCACTACCCTCCACACCCTCACCCACTACCCTCCACACCCTCACCCACTACCTCCACACCCCTCACCCACTCATCCTCCACACCCTCACCCACTACCCTCCTCCACACCCTCACCCACCACCCTCCACACCTTCACCCACTCATCCTCCACCCTCTCACCCACTATCCTCCACACCTCACCCACTATCCTCCACACCCCTCACCCACTCACCTCCACCCCTCTCTCACCCACTACCCTCCACACCCCTCACCCACCATCCTCCACACCCCTCACCCACCATCCTCCACACCCCTCACCCACTTATCCTCCACCCACCTCTATCCTCCACCCTCCTCACCTCCACCCTCACCACCACCTCCACACCCTCACCCACCACCCTCCACACTCACCCACTACCTCCACACCCTCACCCACTCACCTCCACACCCTCACCCACTCATCCTCTCTCACCTCACCCACTCATCTCACCACCCACTACCTCCACACCTCACCCACTATCCTCCACACCTCACCCACTACCCTCCACACCCCTCACCCACTCACCCTCCACACCTCACCACACCTCCACACCTCCCTCACCACTATCCTCCACACCTCACCTCCACACCTCACCACCTCCACACCTCACCCCACTTCCCTCCACACCCTCACCCACTCATCCTCCACACCCTCACCACTACCTCTCCACACCTCACCCACTACCCTCCACACCCTCACCCACTCACCCCTCCACACCCCTCACCCACTACCCCTCCCTCCACCCACTATCCCTCCACACTACCCACTCACCACACCCCTCACCCACTACCCTCACCTCTCACCCACTCACCACACCACTCCACCATCCTCCACCCCTCACCCACTATCCTCCACACCTCACCCACTACCCTCACCACCTCACCCCACTACTCCTCCACACCTCACACTACTCTCCACACCTCACCCACTCATCCTTAACCCCAAACCTAACCTTCTCAACGTCGTGTGTGTGTGTGTGTGTGTGTGTGTGTGTGTGTGTGTGTGTGTGTGTGTGTGTGTGTGGTGTGTGTAGGGGTGTGTGGGTGTAGCACTGGTTTATGTGTCTGTAGATGTAGTGCGGATGTGTAGGTGTAGCACAGGTGTGTGTAGGTGTAGCATAGGTGTATTGTAGGTGTGTGTAGGTTTATCGCGGGTGTGTAGGTGTAGCACATGTGTGTAGGTGTAGCACAGGTGTTTAGGTGTAGCACAGGTGTTTAGGTGTAGCACAGGTGTTTAGGTGTAGCACAGGTGTTAGGTGTAGCACAGGTGTGTAGGTGTAGCAGGTGTGTAGGTGTAGCACAGGTGTGTAGGTGTAGCATAGGTGTGTAGGTGTAGGACAGGTTTGTGTAGGTGTGTAGGTGGGTGTGTGTGTGTGTGTGTGTGTGTGTGTGTGTGTGTGTTTGTAGTGGTGTGTGTATGTGTAGCACAGGTTTTGTAGGTGTAGCACAGGTGGATGTAGGTGTGTGTGTGTGTGTGTGTGTGTGTGTGTGTGTGTGTGTGTGTGTGTGTGTGTAGTGTGGGTGGGTGGTTGTGTGTAGGTGTAACGTTGGGTGTGTTTGTGTTGATGTAGAGCGAGTTTGATTGTGTTATTGGAGGTGTAATGTGGGTGTGTGTAGGTGTAGTACGGGTGTTAGTGAAGGTGTAGCGGTATGCAGATGTGTTCATGTAGGTGGTATAGTGCGGGTGTGTGGGGGCGGGTATGTGTGTGTTAGTATCTTGAGTGTCTGAGGGTCTAGCGCGGGTGTGTGTGGGTGTTCCTGAAGGTGTAGCGTGGGTGTAGGTGGTATGGTGTGTGTTTGTTAGTATCTTGAGTGTCTGAGGGTGTAGCGCGGGTGTGTGTGGGTGTTCCTGAAGGTGTAGGTGGTGTAGTGCGGGTGTGTGTGGGTGTTAGTGTAGGTGTAGCGCGGGTGTGTGTAGGCTATGACGGAGGTGTACCGTGTGTGTTACAGAGTGCTGACCATCGGCGGGTCGGAGGATGTGGTGCTGAAGGTCTTGAATGAGGTCCTGGAATGCCTTGATGAGGTGAGTCCCAGCGTCTAGTTTGTTTCTCCTTATTTTTATCTTCCTTCATTATTTTTATTCATTACGTCCCTCATTACCTTACAGATTGACTAATTATTGTCCCTCATTCATTCGTTACTAAGTCATTTGATACCTGTCAAGTTTGTATTAATTTGAATCTATAGAAATTATATATATTTTTTTTAATACAGTATATACATTATTTTTTGTTTCATAAGATGTAAAGTTAATAATTATATATTTTTTTTTACCTGTAGATGTTATAATGTTAATTCTCCTTACATCAGCCATATAAAGTGCAGTAATAATTTTCTTTTTATCATAGTAAGTAATATTTGTCCACTTGTGTTCATTGATTTTTATTTATTTATGTGTGTGTGTTCAGTGTATTGTAAGGTGGTGATAGTTATGTTACAGTAAGTTTTAAAGTCTTGGCAAATCACAACCAAATTTTCAACCACTTGTTACATTGGTGTAGTTTGTTGTATAAATACATCTGGATTATTATTGTATTGTATAAACAAGTTCAGAATACTGATGATTTCAAACCCAAAGCCTTACTCTTGACCCTAAAACAACAACAATTATATACATTAGGTAAAACAATCGTTATACTTCAATCAACAATATTCACTAATAAATATAAAGGTTAGATTTTGTTTATTGATACAAATTGAAATTTGTAGTTCATTGTCAGTGTGAGGTACAGTACATGTTGTTAACTCTGTGTGTGTGTGTTCCTGGTGGGTGGTGTAGGCGCTGCAGAAGGGGACAGAGTCGGACGCCCGTATCCTGGTCCACCAGAGCCAGGCAGGATGCGTCATCGGCAAGGCTGGCAGCAAGATCAAGGAACTGCGTGAGGTGAGTACTGTACTGTCCTCGGTACTTGTGTGAGAGAGAGAGAGAGAGAGAGAGAGAGAGAGAGAGAGAGAGCTTACAGTCCACAAGGGGGTGGTTACTGTGTGAAGGACGGGGTGGAGGAAGTTATCAGATGGAGCAGCATTCTGTAGTGAGGGAGCAAACACTGTGGCCATGGTGCACTAGTGGGGGGTTCTAAGGTGCCTCCAACGTGGCACCCGGTGATATGTATTTTGGTGACGTGTTGACAGGAGGTAGGGAGTCCCCCTCATAGTAAGGCGGGTAATGTTAGTTTGTCACACAACACCCAGGTGGTGGTGGTGGTTCTCCCTCACCCAGGTGTAGGAGCACCGTATGTTGGTCTGTCTTGTGCGGCTGTCAGTCCCAGTATATTGATTTAGAACTATCAGCACAATTGCGATTTTAATGATAAGTACAGGTACAATCCCTTTACAAACTCGGAACCTTTTTTTTTAGTAATATCGCTACAAGTAAAGATTTAAGTACCATTCACTGTATGGTGTACGTAGGGTGAGGGTTACATATAGGTGGGGCCTCAGCCTAGTCACGCGTGGAAAAGGACTTAGAAAAATTATAGATATATCAATACAATCGGCGTGGTTGTCCCTGGGGCCACGGTACAGGACTTGAGTATACTGGATGTGGGTTGACGAAGACTGTAGTGTAGTGTACTGGAGAATGACGTGGGGTGGTGAGGCAGTGCATACCTCCTCCCTCACCACACCCACCACCTCTCATTCTCCTCACCACACCCACTACCTCTCATCCTCCTCACCACCCACCACCTCATTCTCCTCACCACACCCACCACCTCCATTCTCCTCACAACCCACCACCCCATCTCCCCACCACACCCACCACCCCCTCCATCCCTCTCACCACACCCACCACCTCTCATCCCTCCCCACCACCCACCACACCCTCCCCACCCTCCCCCACCACACCCACTCACCTCTCCCTCCCCACCACACCCACCACCTCCTCATCCCCCACCACACCCACCACCCCATCTCCCCCACCACACCCACCACCCCATCCCCACCACACCCACCACCCCCATCTCCCCCACCACACCCACCACCCCATCTCCTCACCACACCCACCACCTCCCCATTCCTCCCCACCACACCCACCACCTCTCATCTCTCTCACCACACCCACCACCCCATCCCCCCTCCTCACCACACCCACTCACCCTCATCCCCACCACACCCACCACCCATCCTCCCACCACACCCACTACCCCATCTCCCCACCACACCCACTAACTCTCCATCTCCCTCACCACACCCACTCACCTCCATCCTCCCCACCACACCCACCACTCCCTCACCCTCCCCACCACACCCACTACCTCCCACCACCACACCCACCACCTCATCTCCCTCACCACACCCACCACCTCAACCCCTCACCACACCCACTACCCCACCCTCCTCACCACACTCTAACTCACCTCCCCATCTCCCCTCACCACACCCACTCACTTCCCCATCTCCCCCACCACACCCACCACTCCCTCATCCCCACCACACCCACCACCCCATTCCTCCCCCACCACACCCACCACCTCCTCATCTCCTCCCCCCACCACACCCACCACTCCCCATTCTCCCCACCACACCCACCACCTCCCCCTCCCCCACCACACCCCACCACCTCCCCACCCTCCCCCACCACACCCACCACACCCTCCCCCACCACACCCACCACTTCATCCTCCCCACCACACCCACACCCCCTCATTCCTCCCTCACCACACCCACCACCTCCTCATCCTCCCCACCACACCCACCACCTCCCCACCCTCCCCACCACACCCACCACCTCCTCATCTCCTCCCCACCACACCCACTCACCTCCCCATTCTCCCCACCACACCCACCACCTCCCATCCCTCCCCACCACACCCACCACCTCTCATTCTCCCCACCACCCACTACCTCTCATTCTCCTCACCACACCCACTACCTCCTCATCCTCACCACACCCACTACCTCTTCCCCTCCTCACCACACCCACTACCTCTCATTCTCCTCACCACACCCACTACCTCTTCCCCTCCTCACCACACCCACTACCTCTTACCCTCCTCACAACTACTATTTTAGCACAAATTATTCTTCCTGCACTTATGTCCCGCTGTAATACGCTTTATGACCCCTTTGTGTACCTCATATTATGTATATAGATAGATATATATAGCACTTGTAATGCTGTAATTTGGTTGTACTGTGCTATACTACAAGCCCTCTTATTGTAGTTTGAGTGTGTTTGTAGGTCTTAGTGACGCGTCTAGTGCGTTGGCTGACCTTAGTAACGTCATGTTTGCTTGTGTTCATAGCCTAGTAACGGCTCGTGCTTGTGTCCATAGCTTAGTAACGGCAGCTTGGAGAGACGGTGACCTGTAGATTTTTTTTTTACGTGTCTTCGAATTTTTGTTGAAAATTAATAGCTCACATTTTGTCCACTACGCAATTAATATCCCACCTTCTGTCCACTATACAATTAATATCCCACCTTCTGTCCACTATATAACTAATAGCTCACCCTCTGTCCAAACACTCCTAATTTGACATTTTCCCTACAAACCACAAAGGATTAGATAGGTGGGGGTAGAGTGACGGCCCTCCTGTCACTTTTAAATGCCGCTTCTTCGAGGGCTGTCCATCTCTCACTCCTTTTATCTGAGTTAATAAATGATTGAATGTACAGTGGATGCGGGTGTGTGGTGTGGCACGTGAGAGAATTATATCAAGAAGATGATATATTTAATAGTTTTTACCTGGATGCCTCTGTTTTGCTTGTCTGATTGACGGGCTCATGACGGTGATGTAAAATAGGCATTGACAGATTCCTTGTGGTGCCGGAGTGTGGTGTATTGACTTAGGGTGTGTGAGTTAATATAGTAGAGTGACTAGTGGTCCTATCAGTGGTAAATTCAGTTGGAGTTGGCGTGGATTTCGATGTATGGTAGAGGTAAGTGTGTGTGTGTGTGTGTGTGTGTGTGAAAAGTGAGAATTAAGGTGTTCATGACTGCAGGTAGTGTTGGTGTGTGCCCATCATGATAAGTTGGCTACCTGGTGTGGTGGTCCTGAGGGGCAGGTAAGTAGGTATTGATGCTGGATACTTTCCCACCCAATATTGATTATAATTCATGAGTGGTGGGTTAGTTCCTGGAGGCGTGTGGGTAGTGCGGTGGTGCGTGCGTTCGTGTGGGTGCCTGGTTGTTTGATGTGCGTGTGTGTGGCGGTGAGGGCGCGTGCGACACGTGGCGCCAGGTGTGTCGGGACTCGGGGTCGGCAGGTGGTGGCGGGAGTGTGGCCCCCCTCTGGTCTGGGCGGGTCTGGCAGGAGGACGGCGACCGGCCTGTGGGGGTGGATGTGGTCGATAGCGGATTACCAGGTAACCCGCGGCCCGGCCCTCACTCTCTGCTTGGCCGCCGCCCGCTCCACACCACCGCCTGTCTCGCCGCCCACTGCCACTAGCCGACCCGCCGCCCCTCGTCTCTCAGTGACTACCACCATGATGGTGATAGTCCACAGCCGTGGCCTGGGCCCTGCTGCCCTCACCCTCTGTGATCACTACCGCGTCTCCTCTACCAGGATTACCAACATAACCCGTCGTCAAGCTCACGTGAAAATTGACAGGTAAAGTGCGGATAGAATAGTGCCAAGTTGTGGTTGATGGTGCACAGTGTATTGTGAGGACTGGGCAGAGGCCAGTGTTAGTGCACGCCGCGGCTCCAGTATTATCTGCACCACAACCAACACCACCGCCTCCAAGCCACACCCAACGTGGCAATCGATCTTGTGTGTCTCCCTCACTCTCTCTCTCACACTCCCTAGTCCCAAACCTCTCACCACTTACTCAACGCTCCACCACCAACACCATTGTTGGGGCAGTGTTGGAGAACGCGTTGCAGACAAGGTGGTGTACTGGGGAAGTAGCCCGTATTGATCCCCCCCAGCAGCAGCAGCAGCAGTAGCCTCGCCACCACCAAGCTTATGCTGAGGTGACGCGTGTCTTGCTTCCTTCCACAACACTGGTCACCCTTCTTCCTGGCCCAGCCTTAATTTGTCTGCATAGTGCACCCTTTTACCTTGTCCATACACCACCTACCTCGCCCACCTCGCCCCGACACCGCCTACCTGCCCCACACCACCCACCCTGCCTACACCACCTACCCTGCCCTACACCCGCCCCTGGTCCTACACCGTCGGTCCACCACACCTACACCTCGGTACACAACATCTACACTCCACCACACCCACTCCCCTGGCCACCACACCCACACCCCTGGTCCAAACCTACATCCTCGGTCCACCACACTTACATCCTCGGTCCACCACACCTACATCCTCGGTCCACCACACCTACACCTCTGGTCCACCACACCTACACCCCTGATTCACCAAACGTACACCTCTGGTCCGCCAAACGTACACCCTCGGTCCACCACACCTACACCTCTGGTCCGCCACACCTACACCTCTGGTCCGCCACACCTACACTCTCGGTCCGCCACACCTACACCCTCGGTCCACTATACCCAAAGTTATGTCAGTGTGTAATGAGCTCAGTTGTGCCGCGATATTGTGGTGTCGGGAAGGTGTCTGATAATGCCTGTGTACAGTATAGATGCTTCCGGGTCGGGCGGCTGCCATTGGACATAAAAACTAGTAAAAAAAGGGGGTAATGTTGGAAATATATTGGTTTTATTATAATATGTTTTGACGGTGAAGTAATTTGCGGGAGAGGGTGAAGGTTGGGTTTGACGCTTTGTGGACGAAGGTTTAACTAACGCTCTGAAGACAAAGGTTTATTCCCTAGGATGATGGTTTAACGCCTTTAGGATAGTTGTTTAAATACGTAAAGATGGTGGTTTAACCCCTTTAGGATAGATGTATAACTTCATAGGATGGTGGTTTAACGCCTTTAGGATAGTTGTTCAACTACGTAAGGATGGTGGTTTAACGCCT